GGACACGTATTCCGAAAGAGCATCAAATTCTGATTCTAACTAACTGGTTTTTGTTCTCAGAAGTCGTTTCTAAGTGACCTAAAAATGGATGAACATTTTGTACGAAGACTTTTTAGACAAAGGTTATGATAAGAGCAAAACATCTGAATCATTTCAATAACTTATTTAATTATCCAAGACACGATGATAACCGTTCTTTCCATAATAAACATTAAATTCGACTTTTGAAACTACGTTCTGACCATGTGAGCTGCTCAAATGTTAATTAATATACGGATCACATCAAAGGACAAATAATACAGGAACAGAATTAATTTATTGATACGACTAAATCAAGATCATTTCATTGGTTTTCTATCAATTTATTTACACAGACAAACTACGCAGATCAAAAAACAAATGACAATGAGAACATATATTTTTTAGCTATGATAAACGCGTTCTATAAATATTTTCGGATTAACATGTATTTTATAATAGCTAAATTTTATAATAAAAGAAAATATATTTGTCTATAAAACAAATAGTAATGAAGAAACAACTATATCAAACGATTACAAACTGATTTTTTTCTATAATGGGAAGCAAAGAAAAAAATGGATAAACATGATAAACATGAACATCAATAATACAAATATACAATAAAACATTTGATACACAGTCGCTGATAAATTCATTACAATAACTCATATATTTTTTTTGTCAATCACATTCAAGTTCACTTTTTGTGTGGGATTTTTGACAGTGAGTTTAACAAAATTCTCTATCAACATAGATATCAAAAGTTGTCGGATGTCGATTGTGTATAACGAACTTTATTTGGTAATTTTGGTACTGGAGGAATATTAATCCAATTTACATTAACATTTGATATACGTAAACGTAATTTAGGTGTAAATACTCTCATTTCTCCCATTTTTAAACCATATTGTTCTTCGAATTCTTGTAATATACGATCATTTCTCTTTGTATATTCACGATCATACGACGATTCCCGATATGTTTGTTTTCCATATGGTCTAAAAACAGAAGACACCTATTATCATGTAACAAAACATCAAAAACTTGTCAGTGAAAAAATTGAACAACGAGAAGTATCGTAAAATATATTCATGAAACATCCTGTGCCACGTACCCTTTTGCCAATATTTTTCCTTGCTTCATTCGACCATGCATTGTTAAATCCTCTTCATCATTGTCATCATAATCATGCTGTGCTAGATGTGGTCGAGGTCTTTGTACTTGTCCATATCTTTGTCGTCGATCATCTGGTGGCGATATAGAATAACTATTTTTGACTTGTTGTTGTTGTTGTGATTGACTATAATAGTTCCCTTCGGTAGGACGTGATCGTTTATTTAACGGATAATCACCAGTATCATCATTTATATAGGGTCGTCTTCTCATATTGTTCTGGTCGTCATATCGCTGACGTACTGATGAAGGACTAACACCAGTACCCCGTCGATATTGTGAAGAATAAATTTCATCATCATCTTGTTCTGTACGAAATCTATTACTACGTTGTCGATGAATATCGCGATTAACTCTCTTATCTTCATTATAATACCTACCACGATGGGGTTCATCAAAATCCTCTTCTCTTTGTCTTTCATTGCGATATTGATTCGATGTTGTAGTTTGTTGACTATATTGTGAGTTATCAAGTGCAGTCATACTTTCATCGTTGCCCTGATTTATTTTTGAAACATTGCCTTTCGTTGGACGTGTTTTAAATTGTACTCGGGTTTCTTCTTCAATTATTTCTTCACCACCTGGTCCCTCCACTTGTTCAGTTATAAATACACTCTCATTTCGTGGATTACGTTGACTATTTGTTGAGCCTTCGTTCTAAAATAAAAGTCATTTATTCTCATTATTTTTTCCATTGTCTGAAGGTAAAAAGTATCGATCAATTTTTCGAAAGACATATCTATAGCTACTTATTTTAGCATCATAAGGGAATGACAAAATACCAAAGCTCAATAAAAAGAACAATCTAAATACAGTTCACGTACTGTTATCTCTTCTGATACTGTCTTTTCAGACGGTTGCTTATTTGTTTCCGTTATTTGTTCATCCGCTTTGGTTGCCTCATCCGTACTTGTCTTTTCATTCAATTTTGTTGTTGTTTGCGATGTAAGTGCAGCCGAAGACGAATCAATTGTTGCATCTTGTAAAAGCATTTTTTTTGATTCTGATAATTGATCATAAAAGCTTGGGAGCATATTTCCAATATACGACGATGATTTCGGATTAGTTTTATACTTTTCATCCATTTGTTTAGTTTCATTGTTCGTTTTCCGTTGAGTCGGTCGATCCAGATCATCATAATCTAACATATCCATTTCTTGTACTGTTGGTGCTATGTCCTCATCATCTTCATCATATGCATTTTCATTTTTCATTGCACGAAAACGTTGAACAGCAGTGAGTGCAGATGAACGCATTGTTGGCTTACGTCTTGTCAATGGTACATCAAGACTTTCTTCATCCTCGTCTTCCTCATCAGAATAATCGGCAAATGTCACACGTTTTGAATGATACTCATTGCGTGAATGACCTGCTGGACGGCCACTTCTTCCTCCACGAAAACCACGATATGGACCACGTACGGAGGACGGTCGTGATACGCCTTGAGAAAATTGCGGACCACTTCTTACTGTGTTGTCATTTCGAATAGGTAGATATGGTCGTTTGTAGTCGTCATTCAGTACGGATAGGTCATCCTCATATGACTGTCCACCACGATTTTTGTACGTATATTTTGCAGTAGACTAAAATAGAATATTCTTATCTTGACGAGAAGGAAGAAAATAGAGGATATAGTTAAAACTGACGTAGAGAATGAAACTAAACGCGTTGAAAATATAAATGAAAAGAAAAATACTGAGATTTAGAAAACTAATGCTCTTGCCTCTAACAATGTGCTGAGAGAAGGTAAACTTATATAATCTTAGAATATGGTACATACATTTGTTTTCGTTCGTCGGTCCACATAGCCAATGGCAAATGGATATTTAACCGGTGTATCATCATCTGCATAATTATAATTTCTAAAATTTCCACTACCAGTAGATGTGTGAGATGTCAATGATGTCCGTTGTCCACCACTTGTACGTCTTGTATTGATACGCAAAAATACTTCATATGGATCATAATCTTCCTCATCAACTTCACAACATAAATCAACTTCAACAGCTTTGGGATTACAATAATCATCGGCTGATGGATATTGATATGCCGCATAACTTGTTGGTGTTGTTTCAAGTTCACAATAGAAATTGGTTGTAGATTTACGACCTATAAATGACACCACAATATAAGAAAAATCAGCAAAACCAAACATAGGTCTTACGCAACTTCAAAAGTATACGATAAAATACAAAGTAAATTTTAGTTATTTTCAATAAACAAATAAAAAATTTTCTACAATATTTTCTTGCCGTGAGGCGTGAAACAGTTCGAAAAAAAACTTCACACGAATTTCATAGCACAGTAAAAATTAAGGCTTACTTTCTAACTCATCATCTCGTTGAAGTCGCCATGCTAATAATGATAGACCTTCAATCAAATTTGGTTGACTGACAGTCATTGGATATTATTTGTGTAAAAGATATCGACAATTGCTAAATTTTATATCATCTCATTGACAATAATAGAAAAAATTTGTTAAATTGTTGTCAGATAAGTCTAAAATAAATTATTACTGAAGTTCATACTAAGAAAATATATTTCTCGTAGGACAGTGTGGAGTAGTTAAATTTCAGCTATAAAATAAGAAAAAAAATGTATGATTATCTGTTTACTTTTTTCTTAGAAAAAGAAATACGGTAAATTAAGCTTTGAAAAAAACAAAAAACACAGTTAACAATAACAAAAAAAAACAATAGATAAATTGTATAACAAATCACATATCATCATCATCGTTATGCTTAGTTTTATTCGAACCAAAACTTTTTTGTTTTTTTTGTTCCATTTGTCCTAGTTTTCGATATATTACTTTTTTTAGTTGTTTTTGTTTTTGTAAACGTTTTAATTCATGTTTTTCTACATCTTTTGATCGTTTTTTCCTTCGAACTTCTTGATTTTCTTGTTTTGATGCTAATTTATCACGATAGACACTTGTAAACATTTTCATTATATCAGAAATCTAAAATCATTAATTAAATATAAAAATAATATGATAAAAATAAAATTGATAATTAAATACATACCCTTTTTTCCTGTGGTTCTAAAATAACTGCAACACGTTGTTGTTGAATAGGATCAATTGTTGTTGTATTTAATTTTGGTTTAAGTTGAAACGGTAAAGCATGTTGTAATTGTGATGGAATTTTCAACGGATGAAATAAACGTTCTTTTCGTTCAATTGGCTTTAAAATAAAGAGAAGAGAGTTAAGAAAATGTATTACAGTAAAATGATCACTTACTATGTATAATGAATCTTTGTTTGGTTCATTCTGAATATTTAAATCACGTTTTAATTGTCCAAGTAATCTATGAAAAAATAAAATAAAATGAGATATAGAGTTTATAACATTATATTTTTATAATCTACCTTAATCCTTGCCATTGATCTTTTTCATCTTGATCAAGTAATAAATTCGTCAAAACTGTATAAAATTTTGGCACTTGTAATGGAAGCCATGCACGAAGAAACACAATGTCTACAAAGAAAAATATTATAAAGTGAAAAAAAAAACTATATTTTAAATAGTCGTTGTATTACGTACCACTTAACAAAATTTTATCTTCGAATGTTGCACGAAATGCACCTGGATGTTCTCTAATAACTTTTTTTATTTGACCACGTAAACCGCTAACAGTACGAATAGCTGCACCTTCAAATTTGGCTACTTCAAGTACACTTGTAAACATTCCCTTTAGTTTTAAAAAGAAATGTTTTTGTTGTTGTCATATTTGAGAGATTGGCTATAAATAAGTTCTTACTTTAATAAATGCTGTCTTTTTAAAAATTTTGTATGGTGTACCAATTAACTTGAGTTTTTTCACAATTTTTGTTGTTTTATCAAGATCAAGTACAACACCGGTGGCTGTTACACGAAAATCAGACTAAAAGTATAAAATGAAAGAAGTATAATTCTACTAAAAGAACATAATAATGAAAACATACTCGACCAGCTGTTTGTTGAACGGCAAGAAATCCCGTATTCTGAGGTGTTATTGGTCCTAAAAGAAAGATATAATAAATAACAATAATAACAGAATAAATTCTAAAACAAAAAGAATTTGTATATGTTATTTACCGTAGAAGATTGCATGACAATACATATGTTGTGGTGTATATTTCAATAATCGATGTCTCATATTATGATCTTGTATAAAATAATATGGTATCGTTTGAAATCTTCTCCAACCTAATGATACAATTAATGGATCTTTACTTTTCAAAATACGTTTATGCCAACGATGTTTTTTCAAGCGAACCTTTTTTTAAGAAAAAACGAACAATTAGTGTAATTATTATTTTCAAATTTTAACAATAGAATAGAAATCTAACATACTTGTACATAACCATTTCGAGATTCTGTAACCGGCATACCACCAATAATAACAATATAAGATGGATTGAAATTATTAATAAATTCACATGGAATATTATTCAATTCACATCTTACATACATTCCTGGACGATAACCTTCATACAGAACACGGAGATCATCAGACATATTTTCAAATTCAGAACGATTGAGCTAAAATAAATTAAGACAATGAACCGGAAATGAAATAGAAGTGTTCAAAGTTTTCTGAGGAAAAAATATTCTACTCCTGATGAAACAGTGTAATATTTGTACCGTTTGCGGTTGGTCTGTTTGCTGCTACGAACTAGAAATCGCACCTCATTCTACTTCACATTAAACGGCTATGTTAAACATGGTAAACTCTCCTTCATTATTCAAAAATACATTTATTAAAATGCTAGAAGATTAATTATTTCTTGTTGTAGCAGAAATGAAACTTACTTGAGTTTGTTCTTCTACTTCTTTTTTTAGTCCATCGTAAAAAGCCGAATCCGTATCTCGTGCATCATATTCAGCATCAAATACTGATTTTAATTTTGCTTTTTTTGCCATTAATTCATCTTCTTTTGTTTTCTCATTTGGTTCGATTATTTTATCATCATCAACGTTTTCTTGTTCTATTGAATAGACATTATATGTACAATCTGTCTCAAAATGTAAGAAGATTTGAGTATATTTACCTTCATCGTCTTCTTCATCTATGTCATTCGAATCATCATCTATATCTTCATCTTGTATTTTAACCGTTTTTGAAAATGCTTCACCGGTCTCTAAATCTTCGAAATCACCGAACATATCTTCTATAAAAAAAGAAGGAAAAAAAGTTAATTTATTACTACAACAAATAAACAGTATTGTTGTAGCTTGCCGTCATCATCTTCTTGTAACAGATGAGCAGCATCTTTGTCTTTTTCCCATTTTCCAGTAACAAAACAATCACGAATTTGTTCACGAATCTACAAATAGATGATGGCATATTTTTCACTCATTTCTATCATGTTCACTTTCATACATACTTCATCTAGATCCCAATTTTGATTTTCATTTGAGTTATATGATAATGTATAATCTTCATGATCATCTATATTCTTTTTACGATGTGCAACATGAAACAACCCGCCAAACTGATTAGGAGGATTCTCATCTTCTAAGTGGATCAGCTGAATAGGTTTGTTGATATCTAAAAAATTGGTTGAAATAAATAATAGGTATTTTAGAATACATGAGCATCTTCGTATTTTTGATATAAGTGTGATTCGGGAGTTGATTCTTTCAACAAAAGAATACGTGTAGAAATTTTCTATGAAAAATGTATTAAGTGTTTTATTACCAAATGCGAAAGTAAATAAAAATGCTGAAAAACTGAAAAATTATCAAACATTTTAGATCGAAGTACTCTATAATATTTCAATGCAAACAGTTTAATAACTTTCTTCCTTTCCCTATGCTGTGTGGAATGACAAAGTGTTTTCTGAGCATATTTTAATTAAGACAGTCTGTCTGCTGTAAAACTAGGTCTAAAAATATTCTATGTGGGAAAGAGAACATCTATCAAGTCTTAGGATCTCATCGCAAAGGTCGCTTATCTTCGATATTCACAACTTCCAAGTTCTATTGAGCTTTTACATCAGACTTAACCAGTTTTCTTTGCTCTGTCTGAAATTACTGCTGGAATTGAGAATAGGTGCCAGGTTTAGTTAAACATTTTATCAAATCTAGCACTAATTTCAGATAGGGCAGAGAAAACTGGTTAAGTCTGATGTAAAAGCTCAATAGAACTTGGAAGTTGTGAATATCGAAGACAAGCGACCTTTGCGATGAGGTCTCAAGAATTGACAGATCCCTACTTCCATTAGGAGTTTCTTCGTGTCAACGACAGTTAAAAATATAATTCCTGCGCGATTTTGTAGAGTCTGATGGAAAAACGGGTGATAGCACTTTCGTCACATGGGACAAAGAACTTCCGCCACACGTGACAAAAGTGTATGGCATTTTTGGGGAGTGCCACCTCACACTTTGGTCGCAAGAATGGTGAACTTTCGTAACCAACTATGTAAGATACCTACAACTTTCGTTACACTAATAACATAGAACTGTTTACATGTGGACTACTCCAGCCCGAACTACTACCAAACGCAATAGACGCTTGATTTTGATATTTTAAATTAAAGAAAAAGACTTCAGGAGGGGTTTTCTACGCGTTTTGCTAAGAAAATGCAATGTTTGTAAAGAAAAAAGCAAGAAGTTATTACTTTAGTATACACTGCTACAGTTTACATTACTGCAGTTTGGACTACTCCCGTTTGCACTACGACACTTTGGACTAATGAACTTTGCACTGCAACCTTGATTTCATCGCAACCGTTTCATGCAATGTGTGACGAAAGTATCGACATGTCTAAAAAACCAGACACTTTCGTCACATACGGGTTAACTTTTGCAACCACTATTCCTTTTAATGGTTAAGCTTTCGTCACATGCCGCAAGAACTTTTGTCACATGGCGAGAGAATTTTTGTCACTGAAAACAGAACTTTCGTCACATAACTTTCGTCAGCGTTACCCGATGACGAAAGTGCTGTGAAACGGAAAAAGAGACTTGGTTAAAAGTCGATTGAAAAAACTTTTGCTACAAAAGTTATAATTCACACTTTGTTGTATCTGGATAAAAAAGAAAAAAGTTAGGGAATGTTTCCTGTTTCACTAGTAAAGAAAATAAGAATGTAACGGACTGATCTATTTTTTGATAATTTTTTTCCCAAAATTTTTTAATAGATAACTTGTATAAATTCTAACCGCGAAGATCTAACATGAGCGATCAACTGTCCTTTACTCATTGAAATAAAAAACAAAGTAGAATAAAACTATTTTAGTGTGTTTAAAATCACATTGAAAACGAGGACCACGAACACTTTCTAAAAAAGTTACCGAAAACTTTTTAAGTTTAGAAAATGCATTCTCTATCATCAATTTCTCAAAAATAAACAAATAGTGCAGTTTGCAGTCAGAAATTTAAAATTCAAAAATATTATACAATTCAAATTTTTATATTTAAAAATAAATTTTTGTTTTGAAGTTTTTTTATTCGGGATTAGCAACTACATCTGGTGATGTGTAATAAGTATGATATCAGAGAAAACGTGCTCAACTTTGATATTACATGGAAACCTTTACATGGATATGTTAACAAATTATACTAAAAGTATAGAGAGGATGATGTAGTCTGAAGCATTGTTATTCATGTCAAACTGACTATCTTCTTCATTCTTTTCTCTAAAGTAGAATTTCAACTCACCATTGCCATAGACTAATTTTACCCAATTAACTTTTTGATTTGATGTAGTGCTGGCTGAAAATTTTTTCGACATATCAGATTTCCATTTCAAACCTACAAAATCGAAATCATTGGATTTTCTGAAATTCGTAGAAAATAAAATACATACCGTACTCTTCATTATCGTCGTTGTCGTTATTCTCATCCATAAATTCACCCTAATTGAACAAAAATCGGATTGAAAAAGAGAATAACTATTTTTATTCAACTTACGTTTTCATCATCGTCATCACTATCGTCGCCTATTTCTTCTTCCAATTCCTCTTCATTAACTGAATCATTATTAAAGTCTTCTTCCTCGCTATCCTGCTCGGTTTCAAACGTAACTTTTCTTCTTTTTTGTTTACTTAAAAAGAAAGCGAAAATATTGAATAATAATAAAATAATTTAAAAAAAGAAATACTTTTCTTGTTCAGGATTGTTTTCATTCACATGAACTAATTCACCGTTAGAAAATAAAACCATTTGACTAGATGCTACTTTTTCATCCAACGTTTGTTTTGTAGATAAAATATTAGCAACATATTCATTGATCGGTCTCTCCTTATAAAAAAAACAAAGCGTTATTACTAATTATATTCAGTTTTGGTCCTTCATTTATCCGCCTATGCTCATCTTACCCTATCGGTTGTTTGATGTGAGTGTGAACCTCCAAGTTCAATATAAACAGCATCTTTATCATAAACAATACCACCAACCCCGGAAAATGGTGCATATAATAAACGTTCTTTTTCATTCAAAACACGACGTTGTTTGCCTTTGTCTGGCAATGTGCAAGGATCGTTTATATTGGATATATTATTTAATGTATAATCTCCACAACCTACAAAGAAATAAATAATAGTTTGTTTTCTCTTGTAAGGCAAAAATGAGATATCGTTTGTACAAAGTCATTGGGATCATTTACTGCAAATAAAGCTGCCGTGAAGAAGAGTTAGCTTCAGAGTCGTTGCATGGAAAGGGCGATCAATTTTTGCTGTGTTTCTCAATCAATGTCCGAGTTTTTGATTCAGAATTTTGGCTTGCATTCAGGCAACATATTCAGAAAGATTTCCAAAATTTCTTTGATTCAAGGGTGCTTCCTTCCGGAGTTATAGCATTTATCGTAAAAGCCCTAAAAATCGCTAAAAGTGCTGTCAATAGAATTTGCATTTTCTAGACATCATATCTCGGTCTAGAAAGTCTAGAAAGAGTTCATA